AGTCGGGCACAACTTGTTATAGTAGACAGTCGGGAAGCCGTCGTGCTAAGGCCCCATATATAGGACCAACGCATCAGAATAGCAACCGCCGCTGATGAAGAATAACGTAGATCGAAAGGATCCAAACCGAAGACACGAATGTAGACGAACAACGACGAGATCCGAGCAAATCCATCAAAGATAGATCCGCCGGAGACACACCTTCACACGCCCACTAGCGATGCTAGACGCACTGCCAAAACGGAGGTTAGGCGTTATTCCATCTTCAGGGAGCCGTCGTCGTCTCGCCTTTCTGGGCAGGACACAAACCCTAACAAAACAAGAAGAAACGACTAAAAACAGAGCCCTCCCGCCGGCCCTTAACAGGATCCACGGCGCCTCCGATGGCCCTAGGGCCACCGGAGACGAGGCGGACCTGCGGCGGTGCCGGCAAGAGGTAGGAACCCTAGCTTTTGTTTTGGAGGAGACGGTGGTTGCAAGAATATCTAGATTTGATCCGACCTTTCCCACATACTAAATAATTAGAATGTTCTTACAATCGTTCATCGCTGAATTCGCCAGGCATGGTGGGACACTATTACAAAGCACAGGTCAAACATATTGTCAAAACTAAACTTCCCTCTCATGTGCCACCAATCACCATATTAGCCTGCCGATTTATCTCAATAATGTTCGCGTATTTGAAAATGTTCGGGTGATGCCAAGCATTTCTCAAAGTACCTTTGTCATGCTTTTTTTGTGATGGCATAAAGTTGAAGACATAACCACTTCCACAGTTATGCAATCTTTTTTATCTTTTATAGATTATAGTGAGTCAAATCTGTCTAGATTCTAGGGAGGGGCGATGATGGTGGCGTCTTCGGCTCGTTTCAGTGCTTATAGTCGTTACTAGATGGTCCATAGATCTGGATGTAATTTTTACTGTTTCGACTATTCATTGTACTATCATGATTGACGATGAATAGATTGAAACTTTTCTCGCAAAAAAGAGAGACCATAGTGATGCAAATCTCTCTATGATTTTTCATCTCACGAAGAGTAGTTGGCGAATAGTGGTCTGCTCCGTCTGATGTACACTACTATCGTCTACCGTCCGTCTATCTAAATTGGCCAATGATTATAGGCTAATAAAACCAAGAGCGATATACAACCATGATAATCACAACCATAAAATAATTATTCATCAATCCATGATTCATTGCAAGAATTACATACAGACAGTTATAATACGTTGGGAAGTTCATGTGATCAAACAACGAAAAAT